ACACTCTAATGTCAATTTTTAAAACCCTCTATATTTTCTTTTAATTTTTAAAAATTTTAAAACCGATTCAGTGCATATAGTTCAACGCACGTATTTAATGATCTCTTGTGACATAATTAAGAGTTAAATTAACTAATCACTTCCCACTGCTCGATTCGTTAAATATAAAATAAATTGGACAAGGTTTAATTGGTGACTTCCTGTGATTCATGATGTTTACATCGCTCTCTCCGATTTCTCGATTGGTTCCGACTCTGAAACCATCTTATGCATCATCATTTTTTCTCTCATTATTTATACCAGCAAAAGTAAAAAATAAATAAATAAATAAAAAACTTGTACATTTGTAAAGATTCATTTACGCTCTGAGTTTGAGAAAGTTGACATCCAGCAATTATATAAAATATCACTTTATTTAAGCTTTTTAGAATTGGACTAATAACAAATAACTTGTGATTTTTAAGATAATTTTAGATATTATCGGAAAAATATGTGACATTTTAAGAAAAATAGGAATTTTTTATGAAAGAATATTTTAAAATATGTTATTGGGTGCCTATGTTGGCTCCATGTCGCAAGGTGGACCATCAAAGTTATTGAGAGGGAACACATTTTTACGAGGTTTTGAATTTTTGAGGTGGGAGCATTTTGACGGAATTATGAATTATTGGAAGGACAATATTTTCGTGGGGTTTTGATTTGAAAGAAATATCAAACCAGAGAACTGGGGGGAAAACATGGAACTAAACACAGCAGGTGTATATGATCCTCAGTTTTCTGATTCTATTTTCGCTTGCACTTTTTTTAAGGAAGAGGACAATAAGATTTCTTGGAAGGAAGAAATGTCATCGAACTTGGGGGAAGGGGTGCCATTCCCTACCCCTTACTTTCCTGTCTAAAGAGATTTTTACAACTCATGAGCGAACAAAAGTAATGGTCTTACAAAAAGATCCTAATCCTGATTGAAGATCAAAGGAACCATTTCCTTATTTGAAGAAAATACGAGGCTATCCAAAAAACAAGTGATGCAATAGAATGCAATGAACCCAGATAGACATGACGCCACCCTTTTGTTCAAGACATCCTTTGTCACAGATCCTACTGCCACCATGGCACGTTTACTCTCAACATGTGGGAGCTCTTACAATACGTACCACAATCTAAACGAAAATGCTGAGCTAGTTAAGCTCTTTATTGTTCAGAGTCCACATTGAGTTGATATTACGGTAAAAATAAACGTTTCTTTTTTTTTTCTTTTTTGGGTCGTCGGAAGAAATGGGTCGACAATGGTGTAAATGTGAAAACTGTTGAAGGGAATTACTGTTCTGATACCCCGCGGCTTGAAGAGCGAAGAAAATCGGTAAGTCAACTGCCATTAACCTTCCTTCAGGGCACCCTCCTTTGGTAATTCATTTTCCGAGTCCTGGGAACTCCACAATTTCCGCTTTTCGCCTCCTGTCAGCTCCTTCCCGTTAAAGGAAAATTTCAGGCTCTCCGTTTTTCTTTTGATTCTTCTGAATTTAGAAAAAAATATAAATCTTCGAGGAGAAAATACACACAGTTTTCAAAGATTTATTTTTTGAAATTATTGAAATAGAATTGATACACCATAGGTAATACACAGCCATAGGTAATTGATTTATACCTTGAGGACAAATAAAAGACAAAACAAGAAAATGTATACAATTTCCATTAACTAAAACATAACTCCAAGACAGCTAAATAATTATTTCGGTCATAGCCATGAAGCACAGGAGCTATTGGATCATTGTACGATTCTATTGAAAGAGAAGTAAACTTGTAGTAATGTTTGGATCATTTATAATAACTGTACCTATTGAACTTTTATTTTGAATTAGCTTTTCTGTTATTTGGGATCTATTTCTTTTCCCCTTGCAACTTTTTGAGTAAAGATTTTACAAAACTTTTCCTTTTACTTCAAAACTTTCAAGTTTTTTTTTAATTTTGCCAAAAAGTTGAACTATTAAATGACCTTTATTTTTAACTAGTCAAACAAATGAAACATTAGAATCAATCCAATTAAGGTAGATTACAACTCGTAATCTAAGCCCAATCATTGTTTATCTCTCGTTTAACGTAACGTTTGTTTAAGAACTTAAATAAATAAAAGTTAAACTTTTACCAAAATCCTAGAACTTTATTACAAAACAGTTCCTTAGAACGTTTCTTTTAAAAACTTTTATTCTGAAAAAGTTCTACACAAACTGTTAAAATGTAATTTTTTTCAAACGTTTCTACTCAGATTGTCATTTCCGGAAAACTGAATTGAAATTTTTCAGGTATTCTAATTTAATGCTATTAATTATTAGTAATTCATTGTTTCATAATATTTTCCTGCTATTAATCGGTTTGAGAATTCTTAGAAACAATAAACAATACCATAAAAAAATAATTAAAGTACAATATCATTACTTCTTTCCCTAGATAGGAATCTATTTTGGAAACGTCAAACCATTTTAATTTTTTTTTTTTTGTGAAATTTGGTAAACATAGATGTGTATATAACCATTTTATTTCTTTAATAATTTATTTAACCTAGTGATAATATTTGTATCGCTATCATGACATTTTATTTAAGAAAGATAATTTGGACTTTTACGACAGATATCACTGTATCTATTGTTGGATTTTTTATTATTATTTTAATATGAATAACATTAAATTGTTGATTAGAAGAGAAAAGATTCGATTTTACTAATTTTAGACTTTCTAGAGGAATTTTTCTATTTTAAACCAAGTAGTTTTCGGCAGCTGGCGGCTTGACATGTGAGAAGTTGTTCCTGTAGATTTAAATGGAAATATTATTTTAATATTTAAGAATAAAACTACCTGAAATAGTTGTGTATTTTAATCTTTCACATAATGGTTAATCATTAGGTATAAGCCTTAAAAAAGTATAACTCGGAATTTTTGATTAGTTGGCCCATACGAATAATTCGTAAATTGATCAATCAAGGTGTATAAATAGAAATATATTTTTAGAAATATTTATTAATGAAAGATATTTAGTTTGTTGAAATATTAGTCTTATTGTAGAAACTTATTATTAAATATCATTTGCGGATCCAGGATTTAATTTTTGTAGATTAGTAGATTGGTAGAAGCTAAGGTTTTTTTTTTTTTTTTTTTTATTAACAGTGATTTTAGGAACAAAAATACTTTTAGGATATAAAATGTCTATATTTTACCTTGATAAGTGCCATTTGGTAGCTGAGGTACATGAATTATTATTAAAAAAGAGAACTTGTTGTGATTGTCTAAGTATTTGTCACAGATCACTGATAAAAACAAAAATGGATCAATGAAAAAAAAAAATTTATTTTGGAAAATTGAAAATAAAGCCCCCGAAACCCACCCTCTTAAATCCGCTAGTGTTACGTAAAATATTTTTTGTAAAAAGATTTAAACGTTAAACATACTGATACTGACTTTTTTCGAGCGTATTTTTTTTTATAATGTTATTTAAACTGTTTACTTTTATAAAAGGAAGCGAGGTAGCTCAGTAAATGGGGCAATGTAATCTTATATTCTCAAGGACACAAGTTCGAGTCCGGCTGAGGCAGATAATTATTTATTATGTTACATCAGCCGTCGATCGACCCTTGGGTCAGGAGACTCTCCTGGGGCTTACCTAGCCTCTATGAACTGGAAAACCTTAATTACCTAATTGATCAAGAAGAAAAACGTTAGTCAACAAACAGTACTTGCTTGAAAAGTACTGAACCGAAGGGCTCTTCAAGGGTTGTAGTCTCAGTAGGTTTTTTTTTTTTTTCCTATATAAAAGTCTCTGAGAACAATTTCAGAAGACTTAATTTAATTTTTTTTTTTTTTTACTTTATATGTCTCTAACACAAACAAAGTATGAATATTCGAGTTAAATTTACGAACTTGGGGGGAAATTTTGCTTTGGAAATTGAGTATTAAATATATATATTTTTTTTTCTTCTCTTCATACTTCTATCCACACCTGTCATAGTATTATCATTAGAAGATTAGTACCCAGCAGCTCCTCCTCCTGGTCTTGGTCTACTTTATAATTCAGGAAAGGAGATCTCTCATCCAGCTCTTCTTTAGTCGTATTCTGATGGGCATGTCAGCTGTAGCCATGTCGTTGATAAGTCCGTTGTGATGTCCTTGTAGTTTAAGATGAAATTGGGAGTAGAGAATACGTATTTGTTGGTCGATAGTTGGTTGTTGTAAGTCGGTATGTAAAGTTTTGTTGTTTACGTACCAGAAAGCTGCTGTTATTAGTCTTAAAATTTTGGATTGAAATGATTGTAGTTTTTTCAAGTGCCTCTTTTTTGCAGAACCGTAAATTTGTGAGGCGTATGTCCATATAGATATGAGTAGGTAAGTGTACGTATTTAGTTTTTTTTCAGAGTTTTAATTTTGATTTGGGAAAAAGGGAGTATAGTATTTTCAGTCGTTTGTTCAAAATCTTATGTTTCATTTTGACATGAGAGCCTCAGGTCATCCTTCTGTCGAATAATAGTCCGAGATAACGTAATGTGTCAGTCTGAGAAATATGGTTGTCGCCGATATAAACTGGTGGGCATGTGTCTCGTCGAAGTGTAAATGTTATATATGTGAGTATTAAATATGAAGTTGAAAATAGAAAAGAGTGAAAGTAAGTTCAAGTGTCAAAGTTAGTTTAGAAGGGTTTTGTAACTTAGTAAACGTTCAAGTTTAATTTTGAAACATTACTTTCGAAATTAATTTAGAGAAAATATTAAGGATATATGGCATAGAAAAAAAAGAGACGTATTTGAGAATTAATGTGTCATTGGGTTGTAGGTAAAATTGGTCGACTGACTTTTTGTGAAGATGTCTAGTTCTGCCTGTTGATATGCTATCTACCAACCTGAACTTCAGTATTGACAAAATTTGTTCACTAACCGACGATTTTATTTTTGATACGAGTATAAAATAAATGATCTCTATGAGGACAAAATATAATTGAAGACAACGTTTCGACTTATTTAGTCCCCTGGTACAGTGACTGGATACGTCGTCGGACAGGAAGCCACAGTCTCGGATGACAGAGCACAGAGGACTAGACAAAGAGGGGTTTTTACTTGGCTCCAAGTCGAGCTGCCTAGTTGAGAAGGATAGTTACCTATCTCTAGGCCAGGAGGCAGCGTGTCCAAAGGCTGCCACAAAAACACACCTATTTCTTTCCTATTATACTTTTTTTTCCTCCTTCTCGTAGCACCAGTACGTCCTACGCCACAGGATAATGGCCCAGGGATGTGTGGAAAAGTTTCTGTAATCACCCTCTACTAGACCACTAACGCCACAGTAAATCCCACCGGTTATCGTTAGAAACGCTTGATCAATGGGTCATTCTTCTCCTCTTTTAGAGTAGCAATAGAATTAATAAATCCGTGGCGCGACACACCGGTGAAGGAGAAAGGGCCTACCTAATCGATCGAGTAGTAGAGTAGCCATGTATAATTCCGGTGAGATTGGTCACGGTTTTCTAGACCACATCATTACTTCTCCATTCCAATAAGCGGTGATGACACTTGTTATCCTCAAGAATCGAAATTCATCGCTTTTCCAAAAATTTGAATTATTAGAAATAACAAGAAATGTATGTAACCTATTTGCAAAATAATACTCTTTATTAAATGTATTTTGTTGTTAATTATTTCAAACGGCCATATGTATCTTACAGTTCATCAATTTATTTGAGCCAGCTCGGCAACTGCCTAGCTTACTAAAATGCGTTACCTAAAAATGTACGTGTACACTTTATTTGATTTATTGAAATTTAAAATTGCATTAAATGAAATATAATCATTAAATGAGAACAGAACAAGATTAATGACATGAACGGACTTGTCGAGATACTACCCTGTGGTCCAATGGCAGGACTCTCTAAATAAAACTGAGTAAGAAGATCCCAAGGCCATCTTCTTTTTGGACTCCTAGGAAGATTATCAGAAATCGAGAAGGAAGCTTTGGAATTTATCATGAAAGTATAGGTATCTGGATCGGGCAAATAAGTGACATATTTTCTATTTTTAAAACATATAACGGAAATGTCTTGTAGCATATATTTCAATATAAGAAATTTTCAAATTTATTTGAAACACTATATTGCAAAATACATTTTTCATATTTAAAAATAGATAACAAGCTAAAATTATTTATTTAAAACTGTATTTAAAATCCCCAAACTAAACCTGTTCTATCTCTGGCGTGATCTTAATGTTAATAATCCACTACAAAAAATAATCACACCATCATTCAAAGCATTCCAAATTAAAATAACGTGTTAATTAATTTTTATTTTTGCTAATATGTGTATGTTAGTCGATATTTCCAGCTGTCAAGTCTGTGTCAGCATTTCATGGATTATTTTTTATGAAAATTATATTTCAAAAAATACAGAGAAAATTAATTTATATACATGAAAGTACCCAAAAGAGACTATTTTATTCAGTGTAGTATTACTTAATCCAAAAATATAATATATAGCTTTGATCTTACAGTTCGGAAAAAGAAATAAAAAAACAAGTGTTTCTTCGATTTCGAAATTAAAATTTTTCAAGTTTAAATATAACTATACTATACCTATATAGATTAAAACTCAGTATGTTTACAGAATACAGTTTATTCTTCTCAATCGATTGAAGGAAGCCATTTTCGAAAATGCTGTCTTTGATAAATTAATTGAAGACGAACCTATAGGATGTTGACGTTTATGGACTTACATTGCGACCTAAATTCTTCCCGTTAAGAAAGTGGGTCATTGAGGCTTCGCAGAGTGCTTAGAAAGTTAATTTTCTAATTTAGGGCTAGTAATAACGCAACCATTCATTGTTTTTTTATAAATCAAAATCTTAATATATTTTAAATAATATAATTGATGAGAAGAACCCGGCTAGAATTGTAATCAATATCAATTTGGAAACCGTTGTTTTCTATGGGTCTTTCTATGATTCTATTAAGGTGGCGGTGAAAAGGTGTTGGAAATTTCTGAACATGTCTTCTCTATTCGGTAAAGAGCGGGCGGAAGTATATCCGGTCGGTAGCACGTGACTATTGGGCTACTTTCTCAAGCCCATCTGTACCCTTGTACCCACGGGGTCCGTTTACACGTTTACAAAAAGTCTCCAACTTGTAAACCCGACCATTTGAAAAAAAAAAAATAATAATGATTCAGAACTAAGACGTTACATATAAACATATACGAGATTCTTGGAAAATTACCAATATATCGTTTATTTACTACATTTTGGAATAATAATAATATTTATCGTATTCGTATGAATTAAACAGGAGTTTTAATATTTTCAGAAGAAAAAAAATTGTTGCACTATAAGTCATCAAGGGTTTTAGGCCAAATATTTCATTTAAAAAATTTTTGGTTATACAAGGAGGTGGTTTTTTTAAACAGCAGGATCAAATTCATAATTTTTTGAGCCTGGATATGTCCCACTATCTCCCGAAACCATAAGTTTTCTTTTTGATGCATTTGAGATTGAGACAAAAACTACCTAAAACATAAGACGTACGGATAGAAAGTGTGAAGAACCGGTTTCGCACAGTTTGGATTCAGCTTCAAACTTTCCGGACTGTCAGCTTATACAAGTCCTGTCTCGTCTGGCTTTATGGTCAGTTCAGAATATTTTTTATGCTTTTCATGATTGTATAACTTGGCTGGGTTCAGATCTTGTTCAGCAATTTTATGGGAACTTCAGTTTACAGTTATAACTAAAAGATAAGTAATAACTAAATAATAAGTCAAAGAAAAACACTTAGAAAAATATTCGGGTTACAAGTTCTCGAAAGTTTAGAGAAGTGTAATTTAGGAGTATAATTAACATTAGTTGTTTAATATTTATTTACATTATATGGTGAGAAAATGATTATATAGCTACTGTTATTGCAAAAGGCCGTATGTAAAAATTCAGTGCTTAATAATAGAGCATTAAAAACCGCTTATTTCTCTATTCCATGTATCATCTTATATTTAATTTCCTCCTGCTATTTTACATATTACCGGACTACTTATATTAGTTGTGGATTATACAGTGTCACTTTTGGCACATGTTCACGGCACATGAAATCCGTCATCTCTTTGAGCACTTCGGTTTTTGACAAACATCTCCTGAAGTAGCTCTATGATGGATATCTCCCTGTAGCCGAGATGTGATACCTGGTCACTTCCACAGGGCCATTAGATTGAGTGAACTCAATTCAGAACATTTTATTCTATTTGTGAAGTTGAAACCATGATGTGCTAACTAACTTTATATAGCTGCGGGAGAACAGCAAAGAGACGAGAAAATAAAACTTTTAATATATACCGTCAATTACCATACGAATATTTCATCAGCCCGTTCAATCTCATACTTATGATCATGAACCTTCAAGTATATAAGCAAATATAATTATGACCAAATACACAATTCAACCATTAAATTATTTGATTGAATATACAGTCCACTTTTCATTTGTTATTATTGAAGCTTAAATGAAACATATTAATGCAAATGGAAGGCATGCTTAAATAGGAAAAGTTTTACTCACGACCATTTGCACTAACAGTACAATAAACCATTCTACATCGTTTGGTAAATATTTTATTTATTTTATTATTACTTAGTTATTTATTTAAATTAATGTCTTTATTGATGATTATCTTCTGACAGACTAAAATTTATGATCTCAGGTAATAGAGAGCCTTTTGAATTGGCTGCTTTGCGAGAAGAGGGTCTTTTGTGGCCCAATCACTTTCCTTTCAAGCTGCTCAATGAGATATTTGTGTAAAACCACTCACCCATGGAGCAACTGATACGCTCGCAAGTCGTTTCCCTCAGTAATAGTGGAGATAAAATTATTTTATTTTATAATATAATTATACATTTGGTGTAGCTACCTACATTGAGCCCGAATACATTATAAGAAGTGATTATAATAATTTTCTTACCAGCATAATATCGCATATCAATATCGTATAATGGTTACTGGTCCAAAATATTTAATATAAATAAAAGTTGTTTTTTTTTCACACACTCCATCCCATTTGGTATAATGTATGCTCTATAAATTATTTACAATTAGTGGGAATTTTTTGTTTAATTTTAATTTAGTAATTAATGAGACATGACAAATCGCTCAAAAAAAATAAAAATTGTAATATTTTCAAAGTCGACGATGGCAGTCAGTGATGATTTAGAATTGCTTCTTGAATTACTAAGAATATCCTGAATATTTTTTAATGTTTCGGGTATATTAATATCGTCGGATAAGTCTCCCATCTTCGTTTTTCAACTCACAAAAACGATAAAAAATATATAATAATAATATTTTAACCAATTTATATATTTAAGAATTTTAGGAGGTGAATTTTTGGATATTGTTCGGTCTAGATCCAGGTTTTAATATTATTTTTATTAATTTTTAAATTTGTTTTTAAATACTCAGTATATTGTTATAATTTGTTTTTGTTTGTTTTTTAGTATAAACTCTAGTATTCGTAATTTTTATTTTAGGCTGTATGAGAAATTATTGTTGAAAATAATTCCACAGTTTTGATCCATTAGTATTTTTTTTTTAATAGCCCATTAGTTTATCTTATAAAATCTCATCATTAAATTTAATTATTATGAACCTGTTACGAAAATCTGTTGCCTTATTAATGCCAAAACCGATAATAATAAACGGAGCTGCTAACAGTTGATATTCCCAGAGGGAAGGCATCCCGTTACAAGGAACAGATATGGGAATACGTTAGCTGGACAGACAATGGCATTGTTCCTGCCAGAGAGTGATAAAGTTTTATTTTATACGGCGTACAATGGGAAGAGCCGAAAGTACAGTTCGGAATATCGAAGGAGGTAACAACCTCCATAGAGAAGACAATATGGAGGTCATAGTATAGTATAGGACCTAGCTCGTCTTGGAACCCGCCAGTTGGAATGAGAATACTTCATTTTTCTTCTAAATAAAAAATATATTTTAATCGTGGTATATCAAACTAACCATAAACTATGGTATCTTTGATTTATTATTAAAGAAACATAAAATTATCTTATGATTTACTATTTAAAAATATAAAATATTTTCTAAGAATGTGGTATATAATTTAAAATATAAAAAGTCAAGAAAAATAATATCTCAGCTTCAAAGTGCTACAAACTCCGTGAAAGTTGTTGGGTCAGTCCAAGCGGTCAAAGCAGCCCATTTGATAACTTTGCCAACACACACTCTCATATACATATATATATATACATATTACATTAAAATAGTTAAGAAATTCTTTTGATTCGTAATCCGTAATATACTGAACACAATGCATTTCATTTGACACATTAAAAAATGATCGCCATTTGCAAATTGGATCCAGTAGAACTATTTTAAACTACAAAAATATCAAGGAATAAACCTAAAAATTATAATTTTTTTTTCTCTAAGGTTTGTCAAGCATTTGTATTGGATTGTGTACTAAGGACTCTCAATATAATTATTGTTTGATAAAAGTAATTTTACTATTCTGTTAGGATCTACCCCAAACGTTAAGACTCGTAATCTGCTTATTATTTAGATATATATATGTTTATATATATTTATTTAACATGCTTATTATTAATTAAGACTTGATTAAAAACATTCGAACTTATTATCAAATTATCTATAAAATTGGTACTTGTGCGAAATAACTAGGAAGAGTTATTTCGAAAAACTTCTACGTCTGTACTTAAATAGTTTAGATTATTTATATCAATAATTTGAATCGTATGTATCCTCGATCGGCTTTATGCTGATACATTTAACTGTATATTATAATAGAAAGTTAGTTAAATATTAATATTTACGTATTTTTGTAAAAACATGCAACATCCTATTAAATGTGAGAGATAATACTGAATACTGAACGGTAACCAATAAGCAGTGTATAAATATAAATTTATATCAAGTATTTTAATATACAAAAATATATATACAATAGTAGTCGAGCAAAAAAATTATTAATCAATGAAAATAAAAAATATGTGAAGAGTGGTGGTTTCACTGACTGTCTTAAACTAAGCAACAACGCATTCACGCTATAGTCTTTTATTTTATATCAAAAAAAGTTCTTTACTAACTTTTTACAATCATCTGTCCTGAGTGTGAGTTCGTAGTTTTTTAGGTGGAGTCCAAAAATCACTGACTGTTTAATGAAGTTTTTCTATAAAACTTCGTTGTCTAACTTAAAACATGTGATTCTTGGTGTAGTTCATAACTGGGTTTCAACTAATATTTTTATTTACGGGCACTATTTTATTCGTCATTAAATTAATAAATAATTATTTCCAGATTCCGAAACAATATCCATCATATTCAATGGCATACAATTTTCCGAATTGTGATTTTTAAACAATGTTTTATTAAACTGATGAGTTTGGATATATTGTAAATAATATGCAGGTTATAATAAATTAAAGTAAGTATTGAAAAATAATAAATTTAAAAAAAAAATTTCTTTTTTCAGCTCAATTTTTTTTTTTTTTTTTTAATTTAAAAGGGGTATCATTAGTTGCTGAATGCCCCAGTTCAACCTGATAAATGTTATAAGAGTCTGTTATTGATAGATAGGTCTGGAGGGGACTGGAATAGCTGGAAGATAGATAAAGAGTGGATGCATCCATGGCTCCAATCCACTTTGCCATAATCAGAGTATCATTAACGGTGGGATGATAGCCTGCAATGGTCAATCAAGGATGTTATGAAGCCCCCTCCCATCTCCTCCGTCCTCCAACTGCGCTCTATCCCCTACTATCTCCATGGAAAACCTTTCTTGTACCCGTAGTGGATTTAGAGCAACAATCCATTATAATAATTCCACCTTTCTTCCATCGAGGAAATTATGTGATGCGTTAGAATTATATGCAAAACTGACCCAAGCGTAAGCTTATGTTGAACCCATCATGAAGTATCAAGTAACTAGTCGATAATTTCTTTTAAAAATCTGGTGCGGTGCGCGCACACAATTTTCATTTACCACCCACTTTTAGCAGAAATAAGTATTTTGAGACAAAGGGGAAGTGAAAGTAAAGCTTATAACGCTATATTCTTTATGTTTCATTGTGGGTATTTTATTTGTATAAGTACCCTTATTTATATATATAAAATTTAGTATTTATATCGCTGTAATTTATACAATTAAATATTAAATAATACCAAAAATAGCATTTATGAAAACCGCATATGTATGTTTACATAATATTTTCTGATTTCGTATTAAATTAAGCTCATGTTACGTATGGAAGCGTGTTCTAATCTTTCGGGCGAGCTCGGGTGCTCTCGTATTTCTTTGGTTCCTCAATTACAACTATTCTCCCTTAATATTTCTTATATCTCCTTTAGTTAATTATCAAATTGTTTCATATTTTATATTTAACTATTTTTTATATTAGAGATTAATGTGAAACGGTCAATTGTTTCAAATAAAAAAAATTAAACGTACTTTAGTGGAAGCTAATATTGAAAATTAGCCCTTTTAGAGAACATCAATCAGAATAAAAACTATATTTTATTCAAAAATGCTTAATTTTACACTGATATAATGAATTTAATCGAAATTGTTTCTGCTGTTCTCGGGAAAATCGTAAAAATGTGTTTAGGACATGATATAAAGTGCCACTTCCGATTGGCCGTTTTTAAAACCTTAAATATGCAATTTCACATTTGTACGACTTTTCGTTTTTGAACTAGACTGTTAACACACAAACAGACATAGTATGTATGTCTATAGTCAATAGTGCGTATGGCACAGACACACACACACACACACACACACACACACCATTTTGACTCTGTTATTTGGACTCAGAGGATCTCAAAACGTGTATTTCCGTTGAAAACTGAGATTCGAAAATTTTCATGATCGCAATACTTTCCTTTAATATATATCTCATATATAAGTAAGTGAAAGTAAAAAACCTAGAAACAAATTTAATTTTTTTTTTACTTTTTGGTTGTACTTCCATATTTACTCCAACTAAAGCAGGAAACACAACACGTTGAATTAATCTATATATAAAATGAAGTAAATTTTTTCTATCTCTCCCCAGGAAAACGTATTGATGATTCCTTACCTTTATAAAATTCATTGATCAATTATTATTCTGATCGGTATTATAATATTACAATTCGATAAATCAGAATGTACTGAATCTGCAATAATAAATATGAATGGTTTAACTCTAGATTCCATTCAATCATTTACTAAAAACCGTCTTAATTACTACCATTTAAAAGCGTTTTGAACAAAAATTATATTTATTTATCAATTGAGGCATTCGAATTAAAATATTCGCATTAGAATTTCAAAAAAGTAAAAATAATCAATATACATGAGATACCTGTCTAAAATCTACTGGTCTAACAAATAAATCGAAATTCGTTATAGATTTCTTTTCACCAACTGTTTGACAAAATTCGATTTAGTTGTCAGATCTCAACTGTTTAAAATTTAATAACATTTTAATGAGAACCATGTATACACTGATGAGGGCGCTTATAGAATTTATGACTGTTAGGTTTACCGGTCATTTACACTTCGTTATCTAAACAAAGTCAGCATTCTTGATTAATGGGAGAGGCTGATAGATGGAAATGGGGAAAAGAATGCTGAGTGGTTTGTAGTCTAACGTGTTTTGACGATTCATTTGTTAGGACGTTAATACAGCCCAAAATAGCCGGAGTCAATGGCTTTTAGAGCCGCAGAGAACAACAATGCTTTCTTGTTTCTTCTAGGAAGATTATTCAAACGATGCCACAAG